TGTTTACAAAATGCTTTTTGCTTACGGTTTCATGGGCCTAATGAAACGAGAAAATTGGATAGAGTAACTGAAAGAAAAGCCATATCCTAATTCATTCCCTTGATAATATGAAGACCTAAGAGAGCAGAGAATCTTCAGAAGCAGTGTAGAGAGTAATAATTGAGCAGCCACTCGCCATTTTCCACCACCCCTCGCGCACAACACCCCACTATTTTCTCCTAATTGCAATGAAATAAGCAATTTTGCCTCCACTCAGTCTTGCAGAAAATGAGAGGGAGAGAACTGGTTGGTAATATGATTTGCCCTTCCCTCTCCCACTCGTGAGATGACAGCTGTCTTCAGCGATGTGGGGTTTCGCCAGCCTTTTTCCACGAACTAGCTGTGAACCCGGGTAAGCGTGATGGAGAAATTGCTTCGGCCTGGTTAATATGACACATCTTCCCCAGTGAATGTGACTTTTGACAAATGAATGGTGTTATACTGTGAGTTGTCACCAATCTTACAGCCATGACTGGAGGAGCTGGGGGGCAAACCATGGGGTTTAGCATCTGCCGCGTCTGTTGGTAACTGGGGAAATGGCTACTGTTCTTCCCAGAGAGGATTTTTATACTTATACCGGGAGGAAAACATACCGCTTGCATTTAAAACTTAATAAAGTGGCTTGTTTATTCAATTGGCTTAAACGCATTGAGAGGAAAAATATGCAGTGTAAATGATGTTTGCGTTTCCCCAAACAGGCTTTGGTTATGGCTTAATTTCTTCCTTGATGGATTTTATATGCGAAAAGAACACCAGGCGAGGCAGACGTTAAATGCTGACTTGCGATATATAAGGGGGAATGTTTAAATAATACAGCACAGGCTCATTTTACTGGCGAACGGTTAAATGCTCTTTTGTACTGCTTTGCGATGCCAATTTAGTGAGCTGTAATTACACTTTATAACTATATAAGTGAACAAGTGTGCTAATGTTATGTAGTCACTAGCTAATTGGCCACTAAAGCTGTTGTAATTTCCAATGATCTTTTTTTTTTTTTTTAAGTAAAATATAATATCTTCATTCGTTTGCAATTATTTTGGCTCTTTTTGTTGTGGCCATGTTTCTATAGCTGTACTGATATTTACTCTTATTCCATTACAGGGAGTTCGAGATCTACAAACGTTAAAGATCATTACCATTTAAAGCTTTGCCAATTAAAAGCAGCCATCTGAAGTACAAGTTAGTTTTATCTGAGTAACTGTTTCAAGAACAAGCTATAAACCGCCTGTGCACCCACATATGACATATATGTAGCTGAGCCTTATTCTTTCTGTTTACTGAAGTGATGCAAACATGTTTAACTGCAATTTCCCCCAAAACAGACCTGACATCCCACTTAATAAATGCAGTTTATAATAATAAGTTTATCACTGAGAATTTTAACCCAAATTGGCTATTGAAGTTTGAGTTCACATCTCAAAATTCTGACTGCATCTTCAATTTTTATTTTTATTTTAAATGTATTTTGATATTAAATAAATCAGGGGGCTGTTCTATAGACCAAGCTTAGAGAAACAGCCAGGCGTATTTTAGTAAGTCAGGTTTATTAATGGCGGATTTTGTTTCATAAATCAAATTTCCAATAACAACTTATGGTGGGAAACTTGCCTGGTGTGGGGCCGGTTAACTCTCAGGTAGTGTTAAGTTTATGCTTAATCAAAGCAATGTTAACATTTGCCTGCCGTAATCTGATGCCATTTTAATGAACTTAACCTCTTAATAATGATTAAAACTTTATAGTCACTTAATAGCAAATATACTGTATATACACCAAACATCTTTAATAGAACAACAATACATTTAAATTTAAACAAGTCATTGCAAATGTAACAAATACAAACTACAACATTTCAACTTATTTTTTTATGTTTCTGTTGATTTTTTTTTCTGTTTCTTAAAATTTGAATTAATATTTGCTCCCAACATATTAATTTGGGTGTACTAAATTTTGGACTGTGATCGTCAGTTTACTTTTTGTTAGATTAATTCCAAATGTTGCTTTGGTACTCAATAATCTAAGTACAAGTACACCCCTAACAGATCTCTCTTAAATAAATATTTTCTAGAGGATGCTTAGCAATATCTTTGTGCATATACTTTAGATCAGTGGTCACCAAACTTGTTCCTGGAGGGCCAGTGTCCAGCAGATTTTAGCTCCAACCCTAATCAAACACACATGAACAAGCTAATCAAGGTCTTACTAGGTGTACTTGAAACATCCAGGCAGGTGTGTTGAGTCGGAGCTAAACCCTGCAGGGACACCGGCCCTCCAGGACCAGGATTGGTGACCCCTGCTTTAGATTATTGAGTACCAAAGCAAAAATTGGAAATAATCTAACAAAAAGTAAACTGAAGATCACAGTACAAAATTTTGTAAACCTAAATGAATATGTTGGGGAAAAAAAAACATAAATAAAAGCAACAGATTGTATAATATATTGTATATGAATTACAAAAAAATATTATAAAGAAAACACTGACTGATATAAAGAAGTAGGCTACATTTCTTAAAGAATGACTTTAAAGCTATAAACCCTGAGTGGAGTAATTGGGAGATGAATGGGGGGCGTGCAGTAGCCTCACTTTGATATAAAGCTATTTTCCCATGGAGCGAGGGAAACACACGTGTCAAAGAGAAAGCAGCATGCGGCGGTTTTGAAGCAACTTAAAATGCCCCACCACTGTTCACAGCTCTTCGTAAACATTATTTTAAGCTTAATGTGCTGACGTTAAGCACATTTTGTATGTTACAGTTAGTCGGCAATGCATTAAAACTTTTTCTTGCAAGCGACAATTGACAGTAAGTGTGTATTCTCTATCTCGCGCACGCACGCACAAGCACAATTTCAATGTATTGTGACAAATATTTTATTTAATGTTAATAGGCTTAAATAATAGCCTATATTTTAAAATATATTGTTACATATGTAGCCTATTGAGCCAATTTCCTCTCAGCCTTCTCTCTTGATATTGTGGCTTCTACTGTACCTTCACTGGCCCAGCAAATTTACAAGCTGTAAATGATACAGTCTTGCTTTTGGTTAGCATCGATAGCAGCTTTGCTCTCTTGCTCTCTATTCTCAGCAGTATCAGTTGACACACGTGCTGTACGCGAAGATACTACACTATACCATCACCCCATATCACCTCTGTATCCAATGGCAAAATGGCAAGCGCTGAACCCCCGCAACCAGTTTTGGTTAATGAACAAACAAACAAATAAACAAGAAAGAACACAAACAGGCCAATATGCTTGCCAATATCTAATATTGCTATTACAATAGCATCACACTGTCAAAAATATCTGTTATATACCAGTTAACATACAATATTTTGTGATTCACAAGTGTTTTCTGTTTATTTACGGTTGTAAATTGCATTCTGGGACCTCTGTTAACTTTTAAAGATGAAAATTTAACTGCACAGTTCAACAAAGCAACTTCTATTGACATTTTAGTAGTTTAAACATAATATAATGTATAAGAAATAATATACAGGAAATAAGTCTGTATATATTTTATTTTATACTTATATATTAAGTCTGTGATATTTGTACCGTAATACACAACACCAGCCTAGGCAATATATCACTTTAAACTATTAAAAAGGTTAATGAAGTCACTTTTTGTACTTGTCAAGGTTAAAAGTGGTTGAAAGAAAGATCAAGCTCCCATAATCTAATTTAAAAGCATAAATAACTGGGATAAATTTTAAAAAGTAATAAAAAACATGAATCATAAAATATGAAAAACTGCTAATTTACTGATATTGTGAAAGAGTGACTTTCAGAGTTGTATAAAAAATTAAGAGGTTGGTAACTGCTCCTATTTGAATATCAATAATGGAATTAATGTTACTGTCACTTTTTAAAAATGTCTTTTATTTTTAAAAAATCTCTCAAGTTTTTAAATCTCTCGATTAATTGAACATTTTAACTCCATTACGATTAATGAACAAATGTTATTATTTTTATTTTATTTTTCTCACAGTAAATATGCTCACATATTACAAGTGAGAGATTTTTGAATGAAGGTGCATTGCTTGATTTTAAAATAATCTTTTAAATTTTTTTTTATTTTTTCTTATAAAAAGTGCAAGTTATATACATAAAAAAAAATAAATAAATAAATAAATACATTTGATAGATTTAAATACATTTATATAAATAACTTGCACTTTTGGACCAAAATTAATCACTTTTATTGTTTTTAAAAGTAGAAGATAAGCAGTATCTCTTCTAAATATAATATCCTTTAAATAATATTTTAAACAGTGCATTTCTTGAATCTTCTATAAACAAATATTTTCATATAAATAATTTTTTGTATTGTAATAGAAAATATGCTGCCTCATGGCATCTCTGGCACAGAGTCCAATCATCGCCAATGTAGTGCAAACGTGCGATATGCAGTTACATTTTCTTTAGAAAGGTGTGTGGGTATGCGACCGTGCCGGACTACGCTCGTGCATTTGAATCAAAAGTATAAATCAGCCTTAATAGAGCGGGGTCTTGTGACTCCACACACGGTAGGAAAAGTAGCTGAAAAAACTGACCTGGAAAAATGTAGTCAATTATAGGTTCTGAATGACGATTTCAACTACTTTTCAATTAATTGCCCAGCGTACTCTAAAGTTAATATGTATAGACCAACACAATTTCCCTCTGAATTATTGGAGCTTAATATGTGCAGGGCAGTGATTTCCTTGTTGTATCGAAAATAGTTTTGAATATCGTTATTTTTCAAAAGTTAGAATCAAAGAAATTCCAGTATCGTGACAACAGTAGCATGTTGTATTTAAAGTAGTAAGGTACCATGACAAATGGCATCAGAAAACCATCAGTACATCATAACCAGATGTATGCTGTTACTAAAACAGTACCAACTCGTCCTCATGTGCATCCTAATGCACCATAGAAAGGATTAATTGTGACACCCCTGATACAAACGTCGAACACTGACCTGAAGTGCAGTCATCTCCTGTGTATCCCTCTTGACAGACGCAGAAGCCCTCCTTGCACACACCTCTCTGGCTGCAGTTATTAGCGCAGAAGATGAGCGAGCAGTCTTCCCCCAGGAAGCCGGATCGGCACTGGCAGCTTCCGTTCACACAGGCCCCTTGATCCGAGCAGTCGTTTAGACATCTGCCCAGTGAGCAGTCCTCCCCCGCGAAGGCCTCCTCACAAACACACTCCCCGTCAATACACAAGCCCCTGTCAGAGCAGTCACTTGGACATCGTGGCTCGGAGCAGTTTTCACCACCGAAATTACGGTCGCAAACACAATCGCCTTCGATGCAAATGCCCTGGCCCGAGCAGTCGTCTGGGCAGCGTGGCTCAGTGCAGTTCTTGCCAATCCAGCCTTCTTCACAAACACACCCGCAAACCTCCATACTGAATGTGCCATGGCCGCACTGAGGGACGAAGTCTAGGCGACCTGAGAGCAAACAAATATGTAAGATTTAGAACAGTATAAATTGACTACAGGGTTTTAGAAGTGCAGAGAAACTGCTTTTTGAATAATTTAAATGAGTTTTTTTTTTTTTTTGGCTGTTTACTTTTTTGTTTTTTTTTTGTATTTTAATCATTATTCTTATTAATAATATTATTAAATATTTAGTTTTTATTATTTCACTTAGTTTTACTTTTTATTTTAGTTTTAGTTATGAATGAAAATAATACATATTATATGCATGGTTTCCTCACAGCATTGAAAATGGTATCGAATATCGATATTTTTTTTAAGGTATCATTTCAAAGTTTGTATGAATAGTTTGAATGAGGTTTATCTTTTATTTTTATTTATGTTTTCTTTATCGATTTGTGCAATTTTATTCATTATTATTTTTTAAAATATTGTTACGTTTTTTAAGAAAACGATACATATTTTATTTGTGATTTCCTCACAATATTGAAAATGGTATTGAATATCAATATTTTTCAAGGTGTATCAAAGTTTGAATGAATAGTTTTAATGAGGTTTATTTTTTCTGTTTTCTGTTTTCATTTTATATTTGTGTATTTTTATTCATTATTCTTAATAATAATATTATTATTATTAAATATTTTTATATAAATTTACTTAGGGTTTATTTTTATTTTAGTTTCTATTATAAAAGAAAAAGATACGTATTTTAAGGATTGCTTCCAAGCATTATCAAAAATGGTATTGAATATCGATATTTTTTAAAGTATCAAAATTTGCATGAATAGTTTGAATGAGGTTTATTTTCATATTTTCTGTTTTCATTTTAGCATTTTGTGTATTTTTTAAAAATTATTCTCATTAATAATAGCATTATTAAGTTTTGTTTTTTCTCAGTATCAAAAAATGTATAAAATATCACTATTTTTCAAGGTATCGTATCAAAGAAATTCCAGCTTCAGTAATGAGGTATTATTTTTTTTAAATAAAAATAATACATATCTTATTTTAGTGTTATAATTGATGATTTCTTCTTTTTTATATTTAGCAGCTACCCAAACAAAACCGACTTTTGTGATACTCCTATATTGTATGTCATTTATTTATTTATGTATTTATTTATTTATTTATTTTATCTTTGTGGTCCATTCTGTTCCCTATGTTAGCCTTTCAAAATAAAAATGTCATAAATAAATCTAAGTTATTCTTAAAAAAATTATATGCTTTCTTCATTAAAAAATAAAAACAAACAGGTTTGTGAATAAATAATGTCATCATTAACATTGCGTTATTCCTTTAATTTCCTTTCACGTAAAACTAAGATCAAACCTAAGTAGAAAAAACACTAAGAATTCTGAGGCAATATCTTGCAATCTTATTAGCAAACACAGAACTTATCAAAGGCTTGAGGGGAAAACCTATCCAGCAGCAGTGCTGTAATTAATCTAGTTCACAATCTAACCTCATTTGTATAGCTTAACATGACTTTCCCTTTACTACTGCAGTGTTTCAGCTGTTTTTAGCTGCCCTGGAGGGGCTCCACGGCCAAGGTTTGCAGGTGTGAATCCACTCGACTGCCCCTTTGAGACGTTAAACAAGCACAACACTACCACCGTCCACACTTCTGTTGTCCCCATGGGTCAGTGCACAATATAACTGCTTCTTCACTTAGCACTGCAGTCACATCAGAATCGGCAGAAGGATCAGGATGAATATCTGTTTTTGTCCCACAGTACAATGAGCTAAAAGCTATTTGAAACTAATTCATGGAGAACTCTAATCTACTGTAAAATAACCTGCCTGTATGATTTAACTATGATATTTAATTATGTATATTTGGCTACAGAAAGATGTGCTGTGTTATATCTCACATCATAAAACGCTACAATCTTTCTTGTATAATGCACCATTTGGCACAAATTTACATTTTTATGATGGAAATGGATCAATGGGTGACAACTGTCTCCTGATAACTCGGTTTATTTTTCATTTAATGGTGTCATAAACAGGCGCAAAGAAAAATATCAGTAGTAAAAAAATAGTTATTGAGTTTCAGTGAATGATCAATATATGAGACTTTATGGATGCAGAGATGGATATAGAAGTCTGACTGAAGGGCCTTTATGTAATTAAAATGACTTGAACTGTTTCTTTTTGAAAGCTTTACATATTACTAATACTAAGTTTTAGATGGCCAATGACATCACAACCTATCCAACAATGACTGGTAGTGTTTTGTCTTGTAAATGTTGCTGATTATTATTCTTTATTCACCAATTTTATTTTATTCACCACATTTACTGTATGTAATTTAAAAACTTTTATTAAGGAACAATTGTTAATGGGTCCCTGAAACAATTTTAAAAAATTCAAGAAAAACAAAAAACACACAAACAGCCATGACATCATAACATGACGTGAACTGTAATGTGGTAAAAAAAAAAAAAGAATAAATAAAAAAAATTACACTTGGAACTTAAAAGAAAATACTAATAAATATTTTGTTACACTCATTTTTTTGCAAAGTATAATTAACCTTTGGTTTAAAAAAAAAAAATTTCAAAACAAAATTTTGGTTAAATGATAAAATTTCATTTAATCAAAATCAAAAATATTTACTATGGTCAAGAAAAAACAAAAATAACGTTAACACAAAGTAAAAATAGTGTTTAATATATAGACACTGGTAAACTATCTTTTTAACGTTATCAAAGTATAATCTTGCTTTGTACCAAACAAAAAATTTCTGAAATTAGCCATATTAATTAATAAATTACCCTCAAGTTATGGCTTGATTTTATTGAAAATGACAAATGTATTTTAATATGAATCAAAATATTCATGCTGCCCAAGAAAAAACCCACATTGGCTTTTTGGTAAAAGGCTATGGTAAAAGGCTATATTCAGTATGGCTATAGACGTCACACAAGATGGCAATCAAACTCACATTACAAATGCATAATACTAAAAACCAATTAGTACATAAGTAATAGATTTCTTTCATGTCATGTGACATGACAACTGCTGATTTAAAGTAAAACGGTTACTTTCCTATTACTTTTTTTACTTAGTAAGTTCGCTTTTTGCTATAAGGCAAATTAAAAACAACAGGTTATAGTCAGACACCACACTTTTCCACTAATCCCAATAAAATGTAGGACATTTAATATGAAAGACACAATAGATTTAATTGATTTCAGTGTACAGAGATGTATGTTTATCTGAAAATAACTGCACACCTTAGAATCAGTAAATCTTTTATGTTCACCAAGGCTGCTTTTGTAGCCATTTTGTAAATAGTAATTTGTAGTTTAAATATTATGTGTTTGGTTTTTTCTTCTTTTATTTGTTGGTTGTAAAGTCGTAGTTAATGAGCGTAATAAAGGCATAGTAAAGGAGACAAAGAAAAGAAAGAAAGATTGCATCAGACAAAATTTTTGACTAGCTGTTTAGGAGTGTGAAAGGATGGTAGTGAGCTTTTTATTTGAAATACACTTCATTATCTGACCAATATTCAAGACAATATAAACAAAAACAATGGGCTCTTGGGGTGGTCCTCCTAAGTAGAAATCACACCATACACTGAAAAAAATGCTTTTACTCTTCTAAAAGTAAAATGATCTTTTTTTTTCTAGGTAAGTGTCAGCAAACAAATCATATGTACTGGATTTAAACAACTTACATTTAGTAATGTTCAACTTTATTTGTTCGTTTAAATTTAGCCTATATGAATTGTTTGCAATTACGTACCTTAAAAAAATCAAGTAAATCCAATGAATCATTTTTTTCTAGTGCACTCCTTTTGATCAGCCCCCTTTGTAATTATCCTAATCTCGAACCTCCCCGCAAAAACTATTTTGAATAACCATCTCACAGTGAGTTTACTGCTGCAACCTTTGCCTTCTCTAAGGCTTAAATAACATGGAGGCATAATAAAAAAAATTATTATCAGTATGTGGAATTTAAAATAGCAGAAAGAAAGCCTCTACTAAAGCATTCAAAGTCATTCATTCATTCATTCATTTTCTTTTCGTCCCTTTATTAATCAGGGGTCACCACAGCAGAATGAACCACCAACTATTCCAGCACATGTTTTAGGCAGCGGATGTCCTTCCAGCCGCAACCCAGTATTGGAAAACACCCATGTAGACTCATTCACACACACACTCATACACTGCGGCAAATTTAGCTTAACCAATTCACCATCATGTCTTTGGACTGTGGAGGTAACCGGAGCACCCAGAGGAAACCCACGCGAACACAGGGAGAACATGCAAACTCCACACAGAAATGCCAACTGGCCCAGCTGGGATTGACCACTAAAATGATTATAATTTATTTATTTTTTTCAGTTTTTGCTTGTGTTGGTATTTTAGTTTGTCAATCTTGCTATATATGAAGCAATGTACCATATGTCAGAAAGAATACCCAAGGGGATTAATAAAGCTTTGAACTAAACGACTCATGTTGCTGTCTTTGTTTACCGCTAAAACATGGTGACACTTTATTCTTCATCATATTGACTTCCAGCATAGCCTACAATTCAATTTGTGCCAGCATCATACTGTGGAGTCAACATACATGGCATAGCCAAGTTCATTAGATGCGCCCCTGCACATAGCAATTGCAACCTTATAAAATCATTGAAATTGCCTACAGACTCACCCATGACAGAGCTCTCTCCGCAGCAGCTGGAGCTACACTGCGTTCGAAGCAGCGACACCTCTCTCTCCAGCATCTCTATGCGGCTTGCCAGCTGCTCTATGGTGGTAGCTGAAGGACAAGCACAGGCCTGCTTTGGGATATTGATGCGATGGGTGAAGGTCACCTGGCTGTCCGAGTCCACTGTTTCCTCTGTGTACTCCGTCGGCATCTTATCACTCCCAGATGCTGTTTTGTTCGTCTCTGGACCTGTCACCGCATCTAGGTCCACTGAACAGAGGGACTCTACAGGTACGTTGATGTTGTATACGTGATTGAAGACCATAGGCTGCATCTGGTTGTCAGCAGGATCGCCCCCCTCTGGAACCTGTCGCCTCACCCTTGTGGTCCTCACTAGTTTGCTGGTGGGGCTGGGAACAGCTTGAATCCCGAAGAACAGTAGAGCCAGGCTCACTACTGAACCTTGTATTGCCATGGCGCACCCCCACATCACAACTCGGGCACTAGGGTGAGATCATCAACTCCACAAATAGACCTCTGATTGGCACTGTGGACAAAAAGAGACCATTTTAGCTCTTCAGAACACTTCCCTTCAGAAAATATCTCAACAGGAGCAATATTTGTTAACACTGTAAAATGGCAGTCCATTAGTTAATGTATGTACTAACATAAACAAATAGAAATACATTTATTACAGTTTTTATTAATTTCTGTTAATATCAGGTAATGTTATTTAAGTTAAATAACGTTAGCTTATGTTAACTCACAGTGCATTAACTAATGTTAACAAGCACAACTATAAATTTTAATAATGCATTAGGAAATGTTCAACAATAACTTATAAAGGTTGTGCAAGATTATTCATACTTAATGCTAGTAATTACATTAACTAACATAAACTAATGGACCATGATTATAAAGTGTTACCCACTATTTTAACTTGTTCGTATAAACGGTTTTATATGACAATAGAATCACATCCAGTGCAATCAATAAATGATTCACTGATGCATTTATATGAAAGAAGAAAGAGCAAGCATGGGTTTGAAGTAAAAGCCTATTTCAGTAACTTAGAAGACGCCATCAGCATCTGTGAATGTTAAGAAATATTTGAACACTGATTGCTGTTATTGATCAGGTTTGAGTGCATTAGTGCATCCCCACTTTTTCAACAGTCTTTTTTTTATTTTCATTCCTTGCAAAAAAGAAATCTTTGTTAAAATGTTGTATGCTATGAACCAGACATACAAACTGCAAAGACAATCAAAACACTTTGATTGCACGCAAGAACCTAAAATTCAGTCAAAAGACAAAATACACAATGTTCTTAATCGCTTTAATGAAGAAAAGAATGACGTCCTTGAAGACTTGGAAAGTCGCAACCCAATCCAATCCAAAACGCAATCCAAATACAATGATGGAACACTGTTCATTTGTGAGAACTGTTGGTTCTTAGCTTAGAAACAAGTATCTTTAGTTTTTTAACATTTATTTTCATATATATATGATCTATTCACACACTTAGTACATCATTTGCCTTGATTTGTCAAAGTGGGCAGAGCTAAACATCTCACGTTCTTTGCTCGATATGACTCTTGATTAGTGAAAATTGATATGCACTGTGGTCTCAAGGTCTCAATAATTGTTTTTAAAAATAAATTGAATTAGAATAGATCATACATTTCATATCAGGCCTGCCTTTAAATGTTTATCAATTATTGTTAGAAATCAATTTCCCTATGGAGCATAATGAATGAAGTTTTTACATATCCGGAAACCCAACTGATGAGCTCGATTGCAGAGAGCAATGTAATGAATCCTCAGTAAACACCGCAGGAGTCATGATGAACACAGGCATAGAGGGGAACGCTTTAATTTGAATGTGCTCAGTCCTCAGTAAAATACCAGCTCGCTCACTGAATATAATTTCCAAGTAATTCCAAGTTCATTTTCTCAACAGTAATAACGTCTGAAGTGGGGGAGTTGGCTACGTTGAAATTAGTCTATACTTTTTTTCCCCGACCAGTTTGATGAATTTCCAGGGCAATTGTGAGCATGAGAGGTGGAGTTACTCTGAAGTAATGACAGGGCAAATCAAAGTAAAGAAAAGAGCATGATAGCCAGCCATTGTGACAGGTCATTGAGCCAATCATGGCACTCTTCTCTCTGATGACTTTACAAAATAGTTTCTGCTAATTGAAACGCAGCTAAATTATTAATATTACTTCAACTACAAAACTGTTTTCCAGGCAATCATTTGAAACACAGAAAACTCCAAATTTACTTTCTTTGGACGTTTCAGCCTATACCATGTAAAGCTTCCAGTAAACACTGCAAATTTGTTCTTGAACAGTTTGTTCATTTTAAACAAATCTTTTGTATGACTCGAGAACAATGATTCCTCTCAGAGAGTGATTCATTAATTCGCTAATGCGCACATTTGTACAGGTGGAGAAGAATATTAGTTCCTTTTTCGAGTCTTCTATCAGGTTTGAGTCATTCATTCATCACATGAAAGACAGAAGCCAGTCATATGCAGTCAGGGCCGGAAAAAGATTTGATCCGTTTATTTCGAGTCCTCGGTTTGAGTCGCTCCTTCATCACATGGAGACAGAAGCCAATCATTTACATTTAGAGCTCAAACATTTTTTGATCCATTTATTTCTCAAGTCCTCGGTTTGAATCATCTCTCTTTACATGCTGTCACGTGATGAATGAACAACTCGAAAACCAACTTGAAAGGTAATCTAATCATGGATCCTTTCAGCTCAGACTGTGTGCATTGGTTAAGCTTATATGGGATGTAAACAAGGAACTCAAATTTGTTAACCTGTCAGAAAAGGTGAGCGGACATAATCACAGATAAAACATCAGGTAAAGAGTAAATTACTATTTTCTCTTTCTTATTGTGTTCAGTTATGACTTGTCTGCAGTGTGATCAACGTTTGGTGCAGTTGTAGTTGAGTTTGGAAGCAACTTGAAACATTTTAATAATATTTTGTCAAATTGAATGAAATTAACTAAATTACTCTAAAAAAGATTTGTTCATCTCAATGAACGAGATTCAATGGTATGAGTCAGTAAAATAATCCGAATTTCCTATCACTAGTGTATCAGTATCAGTCCAGATTGTTCACAGCTGTAGCACGAGTTGATTGGCGCAAAACATCATGGTAGTGTTCATGTAGTAGCAGATGTGTTCTCGACACAGGCACTGTAATTTTGATGACTTACTGTAGAAATCAGCATAATTCACAAGAACAGTGAAATTAAATTATTTACAATTCTTTTTCATTCAAAGCCCCATTCCATTAGGCCATTTTTAATGGAAACAGAGACAAAGCTACACCTGGTGAAGCAGAATTGATAAATGTCGATACATAACCCAGAGGATTTTCCCACAGCGAAAAAAAAATCCAAAAACATTTTAGTAATTAGATTGGGAAATGTGTTGATACAGTTCATTGATTCAGTGGAGACCCAAGTGAGGCATTTTCTTTAAGTCTTCCTTAATCCCTTATCAGCAACAGAACTCAGGACAAGAGCAAACTGTAAAATGAATGACTGAGTCGGTCTGACACCTGGGCTTTGGTGCTATGGGCAGAGTGATAATCTCCTCTGACATTTTCTATTTTTGACTGGACTGGCAGACATGCTCTCCTTTACAGAAAACCCCCTCTTTTTCACTGCACAATCACCTGGATAAAAGCAGGAGGCTTAAAAGTAAATGTTCAGGGCTCCATCATCTCTTTTAGAAGATGATTTCATTAATATAGAACAAAGCATTCTTCCAAAATATCTCAAAAAGACTTTTTTAATGATAATCACCCAAATCTATTGAAAATGTATTGATTTTTTTTAGCAAATTAATGAATAATCATTATACTAAGGATGCTCCAATCAATTGGCCCGAAGATTGGTATTGGCCGAGGATCACATTTTATGACTAGATCGATGCTCGCAAATCTGGCCGATTTCATGAACTGATCGCAGGTGTTTGTTTATGAGTTTACAAGCAGAGGAAGACACACGTGTGTCCCGTATAGTATGCATCTACAGCAGCCACAACACAGGAGGAGGTAAAAGATGCATGAGGTGTGAGCGATTGATGCGCTGGCTTCACAACATTTAAACTAAAATATATACAGACAGGCTCTGAGATCCCCAAAAATGTGTTAAAATACATGGAAATCATGGCAACACGAGCGAATGAGCAGGATAACAGATCGCGGAGAGGCACAGTGATATTCTAAGCATTGCATTTCACTTCATTTTCTTTTTTGCTTAGTCCATTATTAATTAATCTGGGGTTGCCACAGCGGAACGGACCGCCAACTTATCCAGCATACGTGTTACGCAGCGGATGCCCTTCCAGCTGTAATCTATTACTGGGAAACATCCATACACATTCATACAATAAAACGTTCTTTTGAGGAACTCCAAAAAAAAAAAAAAAGGTCTTCATTGGCTTTTCTGCAAAAATCCATTTTTGTTTTTATTTGGATACCTTTAGCATTGAGAATGCACACAATTAAAATCAGTTCGGAGGTGAATTTGACAGAGTTAGGTTTGCCTTCTTTTATCTAAATTTTCTGCGCTTTTCTATGTTGTTTTTGTTGTTATGTTTTGTACGTTTGTTTGTTATATGTTAGACCCTGTTTACACTGCCAGTTAAATGTGACCCAATTAAGATTTTTTGTTCAATGTGACACAGATCAGATCTGTTCTATGATTATGTAAAGGCGAAAAAAAAACGCATGCATTCGGATATTCAGAGATCGGTTTCAGGCCTCCTTCATAAGGGGAAATAAATCAGATATGTGACAATGCGACTATCATGTAAACAGACAGATCGGATTTTTTGAGGTTTTTTTTTTGTACGTCATTGAAAAACGGGGCCTTAGACTAGTCAATAAATTACGCTATAACCACGTTTGTCTTTGTTTTGCCTCACAGAAAAAAATCACTGTAACGGTAAAAGACCCTTGTTACCAGCTTATCAAGTTCAATAAAACTTCTAAAGTATACATCTACTTCACAAAAAGTAGTTATAATTCCCTTTCTAAATAAATAAAGAACCAAACGAGCAGGTGAAGTCATTGTTATATTTATTAACTTAAATTAACTACAAGATAATTCTGAATATTCATAATTAATAATACCTTGTTATTATTGATCAATAAATAATATATTTATAATATTTAATTAAGATAATTAAAAAGTTGTTCACTGCATCACATACATGCAGTCATTTGTATTCCCAAAAAGGCCTTGCATCATCCTAAAGGACTTCATTAGCATTGGCTAATGAACAAATTCAGACAAATTAAGTTCTTTCACTCATTTAAGCAGTTAAACACACATTATCGTATCCTTATCTTTGCTTATTGTTGCTTTACATCAAAATTTGTAAAGCTGTGCAAAATGTATAATGTTGTGAATAATCTTGTGGTTGGTTTGGCTCATGGCTTATTAAACTTTATTGAAAACTCTTTTAAAATCCCTATGGGAAAAATGAATGGGTAAAAAATACTTCCAGAACCAGTG